TATCCGCGTAAATAAATCGCCGCACAACTTCGCGCAATTGGTGTATCGTCTGATTTTCAATAACTTCGATTCTTTCAGCGTACGAACGTCGCCGGCGCTACCTAACAAGAGACAGTAACAATAGGCGGGCAATTACTTGACGAGCGACTGTGATAATATACCGCCGCGGAAATTGGCAGTTATGGTATACAATCGTTTTATGAATTAGGTGGGACCAAGAGTAAAGGGGCGACTTTTTTTTACAACCGTATCACGAAGGTGGTCGCCACCAGAGACGTAAATATCCAACAGCTATCGTTGGATAAACTCATTTGAGACTATCGAGGACCTAGCAAGCACGATGTCGTGAAGTACAGCAAAAGCCAGTAAAGAATGATATTCAAATGAAATCATGGCCGGCTGGTTGAAATGATGATTTTTTTCTGGAAAATGGCTTCCCTATCTAGAAAGAAGCTGGCACACTTGTGCAGTCGTCTGTTTGGCTGGTCCCTTTCATTGCGAGAGAACGCGCAAACATACGAGTGGCCGCTGTCAAATAATCTATTTGTGACTGGTAATAAAGTTTGCACCTACACCAATCATTCACGGGGCAAAGTTAGCCGCTTTCTAATTTGTGCACATTTATCGTGAACTAGACGGCCAGCGTAAGCTGGACAGTTTAGAATAAGCATATTTATACTGAGCACAGTTTGTCGCCAAGTAAACATAACGCGTGCAAAAATATGAACATTTACCATTTTAATGGCTCGTTTGCGGTTACAGCTGCCACCAATCCGCTTTCATGTCCATTGTGTCGGAGCATATCCGATATGCTCTTGTGTTTCTGTCTGACTGTTGTTTGTGTTATTGACGAAGGAGGCAAAACATCGGCTTAACGTGCACTGAACTTTTTGTCATGTCTTCGTAATAGCAAAATGGCCGAACATGTCCGCTACTATTGTCCATCCACATTTTGTATGCCAGCCTTTGATCTGTATGGCCGCTTCTGATAGTTAATTTTTCTTTCTCTAATCCTCTATGTCGTCGGCGAACTGTCGATGATAGCATCGTCAACTATACAACATAGTACAATGACTATCGGAAATACTGAACGGGAAAAACTGCGTCTAGTAAAAATCCCTTCTAAAAGTTTTAGCACATAGCGGAAATTCGAGCTAAGTCAGTCAGAACGAGACGGTGGCGTGGTAGTCTTGAGAGGCAGGAAAAAGTCCATGGCGGCATACGAAATAGATGAGTGGAAGCGCCAACGGTAGTTAATTAATCAGTAGGAAAAATAAAAGCGGCTAGATAGCTACGATTAAAAGGAGTATGACGTCTTTGGCGTTCTACGCGTGACAAAGATTAACTACCGTAATAATAATAATAATAATAATAAGAAGAAGAAGAAGAAGAAGAACAGGAAAATTGGCAACGACACCAGTCGCCAATAGACTACGACAACTCAAGGAAGTGCTTAGATGCACACAAGATTTATTTCATTGCTTTTTCTCTATTTATCTACGAGTAACAGTGATGTTAGAAGCATTGACGCGGGTCGTTCGATTGGTCACCAACCGACTAACGATGGTAATCTGTTGTCGACTACCAAGCAGCGTCAGGCCAGTCGTCGTACTACTACACGTAAAGACATGAATGCCAATCGAACGAACGCTGGAGACACCGCGGGTGGCCTGGCTTGGCCTGGCCTGTGACCGTTCTCCTTTTTCCACTCTATCGCGAAGTGGAGGTCCACCCTAACCGCAGTGGTCGGCAATGGGCCACTGGCGACGTTAACAACCTTTCCTTATAAAGGTATCACAATGTGCGGTACGCTGCAGGATCGACGCACGAGAAATCTGTCAGCTGCTAAGGTCACCTTCTATAATAAAAGGCACAGTTATGGACTGTCGTACCAACAGATATTCGGATCTCTTTTACACAGACATGCAGCAGGGATGAACATAGGCTCTCAGCCATGGATGGATACACTCACACTAATCCACCATAAGCGTACCGGGTACCCTAGCGATACAGCGTGGCCATTCAGATGTACGATTTCGGCATCATTTCATTCGTTGATCCCGATCTAAGTCAGTTTTGACTTTTCCTTTGATCGCGATTTTCGTTTTTCGGTTACCTATTCGTTCACGGTCTTGCTCGCTCCTAACTTAAATCGTCGTCGTCGTCATCATCATCATCATCGTGTTCGGCGTCGCTAAAGTTGATCTTCGCCCGCCGATGGAACAGGTCACGATCGCTCATTTGCTACAGCCAGCTTCAAGTACGTTCTGTAGCGTACGACAGGACATCCTGCGGAGCAAGTAGGTACGAGAGAGGTGCATGGTGTGGCAGTCTGATCCACTGCGGCGGCCTTTGCAGAGGTGACCGCCTACAAAAAGCCACCTAGCCCCCTTTCGTATCTCGACTATGAACATACAGGGCTATGCTTTGCTGGTTGGTAGGGCTAGCGAGTTCGACTCGTTCTTCGTTATTTTCGCAGCAAAAATAACAATAGCCGACGAACACGGCTGCACGAACGGCGGTGCTAATCGCCGAGCGTGAAATTGGTCCACTGCTAGGCAATTACAGGCATCGTAGGCAACGCTAACTGACGTCGGTCGATATAACTAATTAGTCGATTTACCTAGCGCGCTGCTCATGGCACAGATTCGCTAAGAGAAGCGTAAAAAACGGATTGATATGCGAACAATAGGGAAAGAATTGATGTTTTGGCGTATTTCAATGGACAAACAGGGGACAGGTAACGAAGAGCGTGCATGAAAATGTGTGAAATGCCCCTGCACAGGGTTTGAGAAGACGTACAGAGGAGATAGATAGGTAGATGGCAGCTCGCTTCTGAGCAACGTCATCGAGACAGAAGCGCGAAAAGAACGAATGCCGCGTTCGTTGAGAGTAGCTAGCATGGCTCGATCTGCCTGTTCGACAATTCAAGTCCAACTGCATTCGGCAGTTTCCATTGAAATGCTGGTTACAACAACAGGAAGTAGTATGAATGGCGCAACCACGAACCCATATGACGATCTCAATAAAATTGGCATTCCACTTATAAACCACGTTATCGTTGCAGCAACAACGGGAGCTACAGTGAAGGGTGCCAAGGGGAACCGTTCATAGGCCGTTCACTTCCGACAATCCCGTACAGCAGCCTTTCGGATCATCCCATGTCTGCGTAGTTTTCCGAGCTGTTGCTAGATGGCGTGATTAGTTGGCGCTGCCGTAATTTATCAACGACAAATTACGATTGTGACGACCATTGTCTTTTAGCGTACAGGACTGAAGCACTACGCGCGAATGCGAATACGTGCGCGCTTTGAAACGATATATTTTACAATTTCAGTCAGTCCATTTGCATGCACGCACAGACGTGCATTTACGTTCACGGACAGCATCGCCATATTCTTCTTCTGACAATAATAGTAAGGGCGGTCGAAGTAATACACCGTATACGACGTAGCACAGAAACGATTCCTGCTAGAGAAATGAATGCATACGTATACGTGTATATCGGCACTCATTCAATTGACATTTGTACCGATCAACGCTGCCTATAGGCGTTACATATAGAATGTATTTGCGCCATATATGCATTAATGTTTTTTTTTTTCTCTTTAAATTTCACGTAGTAAAAGTATACATGTATTTACATACACGTATGCATGTACGCATCAGCGGCGAAACGGCACGCTTGGATCTATTTACGATTCGCGTCGTTTGTCGCGTTACGCTAAATCGTTGCGTTATGCGATCGCCGCTACATTCGAAGTTACCGTGCTGAGTTCTCGCTGGCTCATCCATTGGCATCTGCATTATGTTATGCGTAATAGCGTCGAGGAAGATGGCGGCCGGCTAGCCGCTCGGCCAATTAAAAAGGACAGCCGCTTTGAGCTGTGAGCGAAACTACGTCCATTTTTTACCGTGTGCGCTCGCGACACGTGCATGCTTTCGTCTATGTCTGCTGAAGTTTCGCGGGCCGGCGATAGACGGAGCGGTGACAGTTACGGCGGCTGCGGTGACCACTTCTTTCACTTTCGACTTGTTATTAGTTCAGACTGTAGGCGCGAGCAAATCTGGGGCGAAAAGCTAGTAATGGTGGCAATAACGAGAACGCTAGCCTTCGCAACACCACTCATTGAGTAATGTGATTTATTATTGTTCTATAAATGCACTGCTTGCCCTCTCAAGTAGCCTTTCAAGTAGTTATGCCTCCCCGATTATTCCCAATAGTTTGCGTCGCTCCACTGGTCAATAGCGACGTCGCCACGCGTAAATCCACCGCGGCAGTAGCTGTTGCCGTAGCGTGAATAAGAAGTACCAACAAATGGTCGGAATAATAAAAACGTTGTCATCGTCCATAGCGGCGGCAGAAGTTAAACTAACAAGATTAGAACTTACGCCAGCTGCTATCGGATGTCATACGTAGGAGAAGCCAATTCCCTTTCCAGGGTTGGTGGCCAACGTGGAAACGTAATGGCCATCGTCGCGCTGTTTATCACCGTATCCATCGACGACCGTCCGTCCACGATGGAGGCCCAAACAGCAGCAGCAGCAGCAGCATCGGCATCGGCAGAAATATCAAATCTGCATAGGTATCAAATTTAGCTAATAATACAAGGAGTGAACGGCAGAAAGCAACGATTTGCACATCGCTCGAGTCATCGTGTCAATTCGCGATGATTTAATCATACAGCAGTAACTACAAGTCAGCCAGTCCATACCACCTGCGTCGCTGACTTGACCAGGAGTACCAACATCATATGCTATGACACCTGTATAGCCATGCACATCTATCACGAACGAACAGTCGAGATAGCTTCCTGTAGATAGCTACGGTGTATGATCGATTGTAAGTAGATTCAGGCTTATTCTGGCCGTCTCACATGAACAAGCTGAGCAGCCTAAACGCTAATTACCCCCCGCGGTAATAGTACCAAGGACATATCCATCATCAACTGGGAGCCTAATTCTAAAATGACAAACTACGTTTCCACACAATCGAGTACCTTATGTTGAGATGATCGTTGTAGGCGATCCCAGTCGATCGTTTCAAAGATTCCCTGACACGTGGCCGTCAGCAGAAAAGGGTCAGCAAGGGGTTCATGTCCAGGCCGTGTTTTCTCGGTTTTTCCTTCTGTCATGTTAGTGTTCATAAGGGAAGATATCGCCTGCTGTTCTACTGACGTGGCGTCGAAGGAGCATTGGGTGAGTTCGTGATCGGCAGTTTGCTACCGTTGTTTTTGTTATCGCTGTTTGCCTCATCTTCGGTAGGCATTACGATAAGTGGCAGTGTTAATCGGTACGTAAACGGATTGACGCTTGTCCCCTATAGCAGCGCACAGTGTATCCGGTTCACTATCATGATCTTTGCAACTTACTCACACTATTTCTAAGGATCTGTCTCGCTCTCTTGTTCGTCCTGCTCGAGAGAAACTTGTCTTCAGAGGCTTTCTTTTTTTTTTTTTTTTTTTTTTTTTTTTTCTGTACCGGCTGCACCAACGTGTGGGGGCGCAATACACGTTCGTATCAACGAAGTGAGTCGTTCACATGCGTCCTTTCCCATGTTGTGTCCATCGCTATATAATGCTCGATAGCACATCAGAGTGTATCGTGGGGACAGAAAATCAAATACGATTGATTGCACGCCGTTCAGATGAAACATATATATACAAATTGGCAAAACAAGATAACTACGCCGCGATAAACGACTCGTCCTAACACTGTAGCTAGAACCGTCTGCCGCTCTGTACAGGTGAGGCCATAACGAGCAAGCAACTATAAAGATTAGAACAGGACGAAGTGGGGCTACGATGATTTGATGGAATCGAGCAGTCGATATACGCGAGTAAACGTAAAGTTAATGTCCAACGAGAGATACAGTCGTTAACAGAAGGCGCTATCGACGTGATACGATAGGCGAACGTAATGGCGTTGTATGGTTGACATTTGGCTGATTAAGTTGTTACGTTTGACACATTGCTGTTGTTTCTCGGCTTCAGCTTTTATTCCAATGGGCATCTTTACGTATTTATAGCGTCAATAAATAGTAGAAAATGTGCGTGAACGATTAGAAGGAAACGGACAAACAATATTAGATAGAATAATGTCATAACCCGTACGTGCAACAGCGTACAAGCGGTAGAAAAATATGTTTTTGTATTATTTATGTTGATTCGGCGGATTTTGATCCACCTGCTTGTTATCTCCCGAACTCAACTAATCGCAGATGCGTATGTTCAAAGTGACGGCCATAGTAGATAATTACGATACGGTAACGTGATTGTCTGGAGGGTTAAAGAGTTTAGCTGGTGAAGCCTAGACTGATCGGATTTGCATATATGATATAAATCCGATCTGATAAAATTTCCATATATATATATATATATATATATATATATCTATCTGGAAGCAAACAGGAATTGAGAATGTGTTTTTCTGTGTTTAACTGAAAATACTGCTCCTCTCCGTGTGTGTTGTTTGATGCAATAAAGTCAAAGGTAGCCGATAACCCCGTTCACGCCAGACTTTCGGTCTTCTGGTAACGAGACTTGGCATCGTTCAAAAACAATGAACCGCTAGCTACTACAGTGTTCTTCGAAAATAACAAAGTTATCAAAACGTTGTTGTTTCTATTGAAACATATAGAAAAACAACAAGAAAATGACAAGATCAAATCAAAATCGGTTCAAGATCCTTGACGCTAGCAGGGGCAGCTGCATGTGAGTGTGGGGGTGTGTGTGTGTGTGTGTGTGTGTGTGTGTGTGTGTGTGTGTATGAGCATGTGTTTGTTTGTGTGTGTGTGCGTTGGTGTGTCTGTGTGTGTGTGTAACCATTCAATCATCGTTGTGCTATGCTGTGCTGTGCTGCCGACGGAATCGTGAGCAGTTTTTTTTACTTATCTTGCCCTCTTTCTTTCATTCTTTCTTTGTGCCTAGCTCCTTCGTTGAACGTTTTCTCTGTTCGATTAACACCGTTACTATTGCGACTGCTGTAGCAGCAGCGGCAGCAGCAGCGCCGTCAAAAAACCCAAGCTTCAATTGCTTCGGCCGCGTGCACCCAACGCTGCTCTTGGCGACGCTCGCTTGGTCGCGCTTGATCGCGCTCAAAGGCCACCGTCAAACGCATCGACAGTTATGTCCGTTCACTGCTATGCTAATTTCAACCCAAATATAAACAGCAATATTAGAAGCGTTTAACATTCTCTAAAATTAGAATTTTTTCTCTTATTCATCGTCCGTTATTCTTCCCGGTACGATTCCAGTGGCTACCGTCGTAGCGTCGCCCAATCGAAACTTGATAAATTCTTCAAATGAACACTTTCAGCAAATATATGACTATACGCAATTCTCTATCTATGTGGACCAGAGCGATGTGACAATTTGCAGTTCTTTCAATGAATTGATTCAAGAAGCTTGTATGTGCATATATTGCCCACATACTAGCACCCCCCGCCCTGTTAGCGTCTCAGCAGCCCTCCGATGGAATCGAAAGCTTTGCAAGTAATCCTAAAGGAAGACGATACGCTGTTGTTTTAATTATTAATCTAACTAGAAAAACGCTGTTCAGGGGAACTGAATCGGGTCGGGTAAACTAGAAACGTAAAAACGTGAAATATTCAACTATATCGCACAGTAGGCACCGGATGATATAGAATACAAAGGGCAATAGTTTTCTTATGGATATCGTATAAGGGGAGTGAGTGCGTATTGTGGCAAAGAAGTCTCATTTCGTCAGATCGAAAAGGGGCTAAAAAGATAGTAAACCACTGCGTGTTCTTTATATGCGGTGCCGAATGATAGAAATTTGCATACAGTGTGCATCCATATCTGTGGCCGGCACGTAGTTTTACTTTCTATCTATCATATCATATCAAAAAAAAAAAAAAGAAACAAATGTCGGACAAGCCCTTGTTCAGATCTAGAAAGTAAATGGAAAGAAAAACTATTGACGCGCTATGCGTGGGCGAAAGAACGTCACTGTTATAATAACCAGTGTAGCTTGACTATTATATATGAGACTACGAGAATGAGCCAAACAGAGTTTCCTCCGAAAAGCCCCTATCAACGGTAGCAGCTTTTAATAGGACTCCAGTGCTGGTTGTCTAATAGAGCTTTTACTATCTTTATGAATCTTACAATAAATATGACGAAGCACTCGTTCCCTTGCCAGCAAACGATTTCATTGTGAAGCGAGACTCCCGATAAGAGGGAGGGGGCAAACATTTATCTGGTTGCATATATATATATATGTATGAATTTAGCACAAAAAATATATAGCAGAAGGATGCAAATGCATGAATGACTCGTAAAGGGAGTTGTTTTCTGTGCTGAGCGAGGATTTATTCAATGAGAAGTGAGAGAAAAAAGCGAAATCATAACTCGACACGCCCCAATGAAAGAACGGAGCTTTGAAACTGCGGCAAAACTCCAGTCACAGTAGCGGCCGATACGTTTGCCAAGGTTGCCAAAGTCCGGCCGATTGTCAGCCGGACAAAATGACAGATTCTAAGCCAAAGCCCAAAATCACTAGTGCTATATAAAGTGATTATATAGCAGAGTGAAGCTAAACTTGCTAGCCATGTCTGAACACAGATTCATAACACACACACAAACAGCTATATATGGTATAGCAGCATTGGATTACGAGAAGCGTCTTCCACAAAATAGAAAGCAATGTAGAAGAACACGCTTGGGGTACAACGGTCGAGATCTAAGTGATACAATATAATATGCAACGAAGATGCTCTACTAACGACAATAGCAGGACGCTGGATGATGATGATCATAATGAGCAAGAGGCCAACATCAAATGAAGGACAAATTACTATGTGGATGTGTGCAGGTGGAAATTTAGGCGGGCAATCGCCGCCGGCCAAATTCGGCCCTGGGAAAAACACGATCTTTACAGATGTTGCAGACAGATACTGGGTATCTTATTGGTGAGGACGTTTATTTGAAGTTCTCATCGCGGCAGCACATTGTTGTAAGAGGGAGGAAGCGAAGGAGGGAGTACGCAGTAATCCATTAAAGTCGTGATACATATTGCACTATGAGTAGACCCCTGTTCTGTTAGATCAACAAGGATTCAGGAGTCGCAACCTTCTAAACGGGTGGGTGCCTTCCACCTGGGGTTGTGTTTCCGCAACCATGCGAACGATTAGTGATGGATCGATCGCCTAAATAGGTTAGTTGTCAGATCGGTGAGGGACGAGCCAAAAGGCCGGTTATCTAATGCTCTTGGCAATTCCGTCAGGTTGCAGGTGTAACAAGCGAGCCATAAAGGGATTCAGACATATAACTGAATAACTAGAGATACCTGCCGTAGCCTACAAAAGAAAAATTATCGAAAAGACACAGTTAGCAATTTGTCATTGTTATCCGTTTCGAAATTGATTTTAGCGGCTATTTTTAGCCACGAGTTCACAATCGTGTCGCCGCTTTTGTAGCTTTTACGATCATAAGCAGATACGATCAATGCCAGCATCACTGGAGCTTCAATTCAGAATTCTATTCATGGAGATCTCAAACCGCGAGGCTCTAGAGTGTAAACAAAATGCGTAAAATCGTTAAGTTTCAATTGTAACAAGAAATTTTCAAATCCGAACAAAACGAAAAATATTTGACCATTAGATAATTATTCGTTAGGCCAATGGTAACAACAGGGAACTTCAGCTTGTTTAGTCAGTGGCCAGCAATTATATATTCCGTTTGACAATGGCCGTATTGTCAGTTGGGTCGCATGCAACGAAGTAGGATAAAACGCCAACTATAACAAATTACGATACCCATCCAATTATTCCGTCGATGTTTGCCCATAAAGGATTCCTTTGGTCGTCAAGCCGCATTTTTGCTCCGTAGTGTTTTCGATAAGGAGATCTACACATCTAGACTGTAAGACGTTAGAAAACCGTTACCGGCCTTCGTTCAACGCGTCTACACAAGCATCCAGTGCCGATCTCTAACGTTCCCATAACGGTGATACATTTAATAATAATGACAATTGTTATGATCTTAATGAATTAATAAAAATACTAGAGATGACGTAAATACGTTCAAATCTAGAGAGTGTGCGTACGGTAAGAGTGAGCTACGAGCTCCTATTTTAAATTGTGTTAGAATTTATTGCGTAGATACGAATCATGATGTTTTCGTTTATATCCGGTGAAAATTCATTCGGATTGAGGCCACCGCGTAAATTTCTCAGGTATATTCTACTATGTCAGATAGTAATCAGAGTGAAATAAAGTGGCAATAACTAGTTCAATAAATAAAATGATGACTTCGTTGTGTGCCCTCATATGGTTTTGATTGTTACAAACGAGATAGCGAGTAACATTTATTATAATAGTATC